CATATTAACAGCGTAAACATGAATTAGCCATGCGACCATATAATATGATTAAATGTTAATAAATTAAGTGTATCAGCAATCATAAATTTCTTAGAAATATATTTTACCTAGGTGACGAGGATCACTCAGTCGCTTTGTGTCAAACTCAAATGCAGTTACGGGGTTTTTGACCAGCGAATGTGTGCAAATGTGCATTTTGTCCGTCATTAAACGGCGGCGTTACGTTTTCATCACCAGGTGTTTGTTGTAGCTATATGGGCGCGGCGCTCAGTTTCAAATACATAAATTATGAGCCTTTATAGACAGTGTTTCTTGCGTGTACTTATTCAAGTACGCTGAATACTTCAAAACGCTGTACTTATTCAAACAACAAGATCTTTATTTACCCTTGCAGACCTAGTTCAGCTGCTGTGGAACTTCATTCAGTCAAGACAGAGGGGGTGGAGTTATGAGGTTTACTGACAGTTTGAGCGGATCCAACAAGATTTAGTCACAAGCTCTTTTTAATACCTTTCATTAGCTAAATATTTGTAAAGCAGACAGACAGATGTAAAGGGTGACCAATATCATTGATTTATTGAAGGAAAAAAAACACCATCACCAAAAAAAGGGCACTTCGGAGTGTAAGGGCAAAAAGGGCATGTGCTCTGCACAGGTTGAGCCCTACCTGTGCTGGTGCCTGGCAGTAGCTATTACGGTTTTTTTATTATTAGAATAGATTAGAATAGAATAAAAAGTATTACTCACCATCATGTTGTTCCAAATTTGTCAGTTTTTTTGTGTCTGAGGAACATTTAAAAAATGATTTCCATTTATCATTATATTGCCCCATTATTCTAGGTGAAAAGTGTTCATAAAACACAGTGGAATAGATCACCACAAACTGAAAATTTGCTAGAAACGTACTCACTCTCATGCAGGCCATTCAAGATGCAGATGAGTTTGCTTTTCCATCAGAACGGATTTGGAGAAATGTAGCATTACATCATCAGTTTCTCACCAATGGATCCTCTGCAGTGAATGGGTGCCGTCAGAATGAGAGACAAACAACTGATAAAAACATCACAATAATCCACAAGTAATCCACACGACTCCAGTCTATCCATCATCTTGTGAAGTGAAAATCTGTGTGTTTGTAAGAAACAAATCCATCATTAGAGCAACTTCAAACCATCATTTCTGGCCTCAATACAGGTCCATAATCCATAATATTGCTTTCTCCAAGTCATCTAATCTGAACCAGGAGATAAATATGTACAGATCAAGCAACATTTCCTCATTTTGACATGAGAGGACAACAGGAGATGGACCTTTTCACTGGCGGAAGCAATATGATGGATTATGGACTGGTATTTTAGCCAGAAGCCACGTTTTGAAGTTAATTTTTTTCTTTTTCTTACTTGTGGATTATTGTGATGTTTTTATTAGCTGTTTGGACTCTCATTCTGACGGCACCCATTCACTGCAGAGGATCCATTGGTGAGAAACTGATGAAATTGCTGAATTTCTCCAAACCTGTTCTGATGAAGAAACAAGCTCTACATCTTGTCAAGTCACATCTTCCACAGATTGTTCTCCTGTGGACCACAA